ACCCGATTTATAGTATTCAAAATGCTTTGATTTTCAATTTCAATATATTTTCTGGTAGAAAAATGAATCTAGTTGGTAATTTTAGGAGGTCAAAATTGAAAATTCCCCAGTACTTTTCAAAACAATCGATAAATATATGTATATATATATATAATCGTTTTGTTATTTTTCAATGCATAATAAAATCATTCATGTTTCTTCTATTACGGTGTCTTATTTTATAACAAATTCTGTTCTCTTTAAAAGACCAATAAGCTATCTTTTTTCAATAGATCGTTGTTTCTTGTTGGATAATTATAGGTAAGTGTTTCCTTTTCTCCACAAATTAAAAATCATTTATTATTCATAAAACGATGTCTATATTATGTCATTTAAATGTAAGAATAAATGATTTGACTTTTATATATCAGAAGCAGCACAAATTAATAAAGTTAAAATGACTAAAAAATGAAAAACATACTATTTACTTTGGTTAACTATTATAGATGACAAGAAGAAAAGTTAATTAAGAATTAGTTTCTTTACTTAAAAATGTATAAACTATAAAGATATGTTGTTTTTTCCATTAATATTTTTCAACTATTTTAATTAATTTAGTTTTAAAAAATTAAAAAAAATATAAGTATACTAATTTAAAAATTTTAACATGTCGTTGATTAATTCAATGAGAAAATTTTTTTAGATTATTGGAAATTATTAAAAAAAATATAATATTTTTAAATATATACATACATATATATATATACCATTATTGCAAAAAAAAATATACATTAAAATTACAAAAATAGAGTTGGTATATACATAGAAGTGATAAAAAAAAAATAACTGTGTTTAAATTTCATTAATTTAGATTTGTGAGTTATCAAATAAATTACGATTACACGAAATTATTTTATTTTACATTCTTGGTTTTAAACCATATAAATAAATTGGAAGTTTTAATATGTTTAAGTTAATTTTTAATTAACGTTTGTCATATTATTTTGCTGTTGTCTTTTAACAGTTAAACAGATCACTGTAATAAAATATAGATGAATAACTGTCTATCCCTTACAACTGTAATACATAAAACTCAACTGTATAATTTTTTTCAGGTGGGGAATGCTAGTATTATAAATATTATAGTATTACACAATAAAGTGACCAAAATTACGATTACTATTTACAAGATCCATTGATTTATTCCCATATTTTATGATAAAATTAAAATTATTGGTAATGTAATTTAATTTATATTATTATTGTTCATTTCGGTAGATTAATTTAATTTTTACCAATAATATTGCATTAATTGTATAATTAATATTTAGTTATTATAAATTATAGTATACATATTGTTTATTAATTATTATCATCAACTTCTGAATAAATACCGTCTAAATGTTAAATGGTGTGAATAGGTTCGTGGCAATAGTTTAAAATGATTACCTAATATAAATATTTTGATAATGTCATAAAATATTATTCTGTGTTTAAGTTTGATTTTGTCCAAATTTTAACTTAAAATATGTATAAGAAAATTTGTCTTTATAAATTTTTGAAATATTTTGATTTCAAAATAAACTATTTGTGAAAAATTGTATGTGCTTGAAATATTAATATGATTAATACAAACTTTCTCATAAGTTATTATTATGATTATTTAATAGTATTATAATTATGCATAAATGATTTTTTATATACTTAAGCATTTAAAATTCAAATTTTAGCAAAATTTGTCAAACATCGTTATTTTGTAGTAAAAAATGTTTAAAAAGTTTAATTTTTACATCTATGTTATCAGAAATTAAAACAGAGTCTTATTTGGAGTCTGTATATTTTTACTCGTGCAGACAATTTACAATAATATGGTGTCTTAATAATTCATTTACTTTTGATGTATTTTGGAAAAGCGTGTAAAATATCAAACAATAAAACTATTTGTATCGAAATAATTACAATTTTTTTTGTTATAAGTAATAAAAATCTATTTTGAAAAATGAAATAGTGAAATAAATATTTTGAAAAAAATGGCTACATTATAACAGGATTACTAAAAAAAAAAAAAGATAAAATAGTAAAAAAATTCTTATTTTATTATTATTTAGAACCTGAAAAAAAGTTAGTTATTTTCTAATTAAAATTTTGGAAAATATTAAGTTTTTATTGTTAAAACTTGAAACTGTAATACAAAGTTACAAAGTTAAGTTTTAAAAATATTTTTCTTGGAGATTTTAAGCTTTTACGAACATCAAATATTATTTATTTTATAGGCATAATGGCATTTTAAAAGTTAATTCCTTGGTTAATAATATATACAGTCTACCGCATTACTAATAGTAAAATAAACTCTTTTACAGCAATATTATCATATGATAATCATATAAGCTGACTCTGCATCATTTTTTTGTATGCAATAATTTATCATAGAGTTAAAATTTAACTCATATAATACCGCAGCTTAATCAATGACAAGATACACTCGACATCTACTGGCTATTGTACAGAAAAGCGGTTACTTACTGTCCTTCTTTTTTACTTATAATTATGATTTATGCATCACTTTTTTTTAAAATATTTATTTATGAGCCTTAGGTCAAATTTACTAACACAGTTACACAAACAAATTCTAATTAGCTAATATTATATATGTATGTCCACATAAAAAGCTTTTAATATGCTAACAAAATAGATACAAATATTTAAATATTTATGAATGAAAATAACATAATATTACGCATGAACATAACTGTATTATTATTGCTGTGCAAATTTCAAACATTCACTTGTACACATTTGTAATTCGATATTTCTTTATCAACTCTTCGTGCAAACATATCTAAGATATTTAAAACTTTGAGACATTGTTATAATAGTTATTGTCATACCCAATATAGATAACTATTTACATTAGATGTGTTTTAATTATTATTTTGTAATAACAATTATTAATTTTTTTTTGTGTAGATAAATACTTTTCTATTTAATTTAACCAGATTTATGAATACTGTTTCATTTAAAATAATAAAATAACTTTAATGTTAGAATTATATTATTTCAAGATGTTTCTAATATGATAATAAAGAAAAATCACCAAACTTGGTAAATTTAATTTATTTTATGTACTTTTAGCTATAAAATGTATGAATTAAATAATCATAAAATTGAGCTATAAAGTTTTTAAAGTGACATAGCTTTTTGTTTTTGTATGATAGTATAATGTAATAAATGAAGAAGAACTTAATAAATTATAATATACCGTTGAATTATGCTATTTTTATTAGTTTAAATGTTGGTTATTAATAAGTTATTGAAATAAAAACTTTGTATAAAGCAATATCTGAGATTAAAAATGTGTACTCAAGAATTTTTAAATTGATACTATTTATTTAAGATATTGTCTGAACTTTGAAGCATGGAAAATGTATACTAGTAAAAGCAAAGAATTTTTACATAAAATTATCATTATATTTTATTATGATTGTTCTTTAGAAAATATCGTGTTTGTTTTTTATACTTAAAAATATTAATTATTGCTTATTTTAAATTACTGTAGATTCTGTTTAATAATATAAAAATATTTATATTATAATTTATTGTAATTATTTTTGAGAAATAAGATAGGTACTGTACCTTCCTTAGATAATTTGATATTACTATATTATTACGTTTGTATTCAAATATTTAGAAGAATAAATTATGGTATGCAAATTACTTGTTTATTTATTCATAACATAATATTAAAATTACTCTTAAAATAAATTTTTTTTTCCAATAATACCAAAGTGATTGATAAAAACGTAGTTTTTTTTAAAATTAATTAATGGTTTAAAATTATTTTAAATGTAATACGATATTGGTAGTATTTTACTGGAATATTAACTAAATATTTCAAAATAATTGGAGAAATAAAAAATAAAATAAAAGTTACAAAGTCCTAGTTTTTGGTAAAATCGAAATTGGTTTTATATTGTACTTACAAATTAATAACCGAATACATTTTAACTAGATATTAATATTAGTATTTTAAAAAAGGAATTGTAATATTTTGGAAGTTTTAAGCTATTAAAGGAAATTTTTCAATCAAATTTCTTGAAAATTTAATATATATTTCCTCATACTTTTTCTTATTGAAATTTAAAAGTATGGAATATAATATCTAATTATATTTATTGTTAGGCGTATGAAGCTCAAATTGTTTTAAAAATCTCATATTTATAAGAAAATAACGAATTTTTCTTAATTTATTTTATTTATTACATGTTAATTATAATTTTTAAATTATTAATCTAAGGGACTTGAGATTTTTCATCATAATTTGTTCAAAATACTGACACTCATTTTAAGGTGACCCAATTTAAGCAATTTAAATTTATGTAGTTAAGTTAGTGGTATTGACTAATAAGTTAGTAATAATAATAATATTATACCATATAAGTATAAAATATAATAATTTATTCTTATCTTATAATAAAATACATTTTTTTTTTTTTTTAATTAGTTGATAATATCTTATAATACTAAAATTACTATCAAAAACATAAATTATAAAATATCCTTAAAATTAAATATTAACATACCGTCTGCACTAATAATTATTTTTTAAATTCTATAATTTATCAATTTAAATTTAACACATTTAGTTAATTATAGTTACCTATAATTATTATACTTACTAGATAACATATTGACTTTTACTATTTTTTTTGTTAAATATCTTAATTTACGAAAACATAATTTATTTTAAATATTTTATCCTTTTTTTTAAATTTTATTATTATTTTAAAAACAAATTCAGAGTGCTTTTTACTTATTTGGAGTTAAGTAATTTTAGTAAAAATAAAATTTATACACATTGTTCAATGTCCATACATTATATGTTTAGTATAATGTTATTGTATTTTTTTACTAAAACATATCCAGTAATATAAATAGTATTTATATGAGTACAATTGCAGTTAAACTGTAATTTTTTTTTTTTACCATGTGAAATTTAACCAAATTATAATATCATTTTTCAGGATGGTTCGATAGAGTTTGAAGAATTCATCAAAGCTTTATCAGTGACGTCCAGAGGAAATTTGGATGAGAAACTTCACTGTAAGTAAATAATTAATTTTTTTACTTTCTCTTCACATTTTATAGTAACGTATATAAACAAAATACGTGGTGTTTATATTTAGTTATTAAATACAAATAGTATACTAAATATTTAGATTTATTTTACACCTATATATATTCAAAAATGATAAAATAATATTCCGAAAAGGAAAACGTATTAATCTATATTTTAATGCATTACTCATTATAATTATTAAATGAAATTTGTGGTTTGTTTAATTCGTGGTATTTATTATCAAACTATTTCCCTGGCATAAACTTCAAAGTTGTTTTTGAATATTCAAATCGTCTATTTTAAATGCCACAAATAATGTATAATATTTGTGTGAACAGAATAAGAATTCATTTTCATTATAAATTTACAGAATATTATGTAATGGAGAATATGTAAGCACCTACAAAAATTACAAAATGTATGCTATTTAACAGCTAAATTATTTATACATATAACAATAATAATATAATTCATTGGTTTTTGTTCTGCAAATAAATGTAAGTGTCGAACTTACGTGGAATAGTATGCTATAATATAGCGTGAACAATAAAATCTGACACATAATAAGATGATTACTGTGAGAAGAAGATGTAAGATAGGTTATTAATGGTCACAACCACTTATTACCAAAGACAAATGACATGATTTTTTTGGGAAATGTTTTCAGTATACTTACCACACATACTATGAGTGTTAACTTAGAACAGGTTGTAACTAATTGTAATATTAGAATGGACTTTAATAGGATTATCGTGCATTTAAATATTGTAGAGAAAAACAGAATGAAGCTGATGACTGTACATAAATATTTAACAACATATCAAATTATCTGTATACTCATATATATATATATATATATATATATTAACGCAATCTTATCATTTATTTATTAATGAGTAACACTTTCATATTATTATAAGTAGGTATGTGGTTGTTATCCGAATGAGAGTGTTCTTTTAGACCGTGATATACGAGTATACGACAAAAATATGTCGTTATATGAAGTGTGACTTCACAATATATTTGGTGAAAGGTAATCATTATTTATGATTTTTTTTTCTCAAACGTCATGCTGTTTTGGATACAGCCCACAGAACGATCATCATTTGTACAGAAAAGCTATTAATTAAATGTTATTTTGTCGTTTAATAGCGAGGGGTATTATATAGGAACTATCTCTAATAATATGTTACGTACGAATGACGTTTAATATTTGTCAAAAATTACCAGAGAATATTTTGAAACGGTGCGTTGGAAAAGACAAATAAAATATTTATCTCGATATTTCAATTATGCTTGTAGTACAATTATTGTTATACATAGGAGATAAATAATTTTAAGTCATAACCTAATATATGGGTAAGTCGTATACGGGGTTGATATTGGTACACCAAAAAATTAAGTATTGCCAATTATTTATGTTTGATCAGTAGATTTTTTTGAAGACGTGAGTATTTCTTTTCTTTTTTTTTTTTTATATACTTACATACATAGTACAAACTTACATTATATTATCATCATACCTACACTTAATGTACAAAATAAAATAATATGGTTCCAACGAGTATATTATTAAAACGCCATCTCAAAAGAAGAAAATTGTATACCTTTCGAATTGTATGCTAAATTACAAAAGTTTAATTTGTGTAAACCGTAATTTGTAAGTAACAAATATATACACAAGCTCGGTGAAAAGTTTTCGAGTTTGAATACGTGCATTGTGTGCTATACCATTTTTCCATTTCCATTTTGTTTTATTTACATAATAAATAAAATACAATTTTATTTTATTCGTTTTGAATTTTTAAAGTGAAAATGTGATGGTAAAATATGAATAAAATCATTTTAACCATAGAAAATTAAAAATATACAATTGTGTGCACTTATTCTTATAATATTTTCTTTTAATACTATAATATATTGTAGTATATGAGCACGAATAATATAATAGTGATTTTAAAAATACTGCAATCTATGTAAGTCGTATTTACCTATAATATGATGTTTAAAACAAATATCAATACGAACAATCTAATTGTAGAATACAAATTTTCCATCGATATTGAGTACATAAACACTTTTAAAATAAATAAAAATAAATTCATATCATCATTAAAATAAAAATTAATTTATTAATTGTTTAATGGTACATTATTTTATGAACACTTTTATTCAGTTAAGAAATTGTCATACTCATTTTAAATTTAATACTAATTTTAAATTTCTCCCTTGGTCATTATTCAAATAATACATTTTACAAAAAAATCAAATACATAATAAATTTAAAGTAATATAACCAAGAAAAATGCATTGTAATGATAAAAATATAAAAATGTTTATAACATTTGTTTTAATTGAAAAATGTATTGAACCTATTTTATAATCATTTAATATATTGTTACATAAATATATTTATGAAAATAACTTCACAAACTTCTGAGGATAATTAGTTTTTAATGTTGTGTTTATGTTGTATAGTTAATAGTTATGCGTGTTATTCAATATAAGTATAACTTATAATAAAAAAATTAATTTTTAATTATACTCTAAATTTATTTTATTAAACATTTTATGCGATTGAAACATTTAAATTTTTAGACATTTCATGGTGTTTGTCAATACTAGAATGATTCGTGCTCAAGAAGTAACAAGGACAAAATGTGTTAAATATTTGACGATAGTGATTGATGTTTAGCAGTCTGTTGGACGGTTACAATGTACGAGTAATTCACTAACTCATTTTATTTTGTGTGTTTACTGAACTAAAAAAAAATAAAATAACAAAAACATTAGCCATTTCTTTTATTTTTCTTGAAACTAGGAATAAAATTATCGTTTTGTAAGATAATTTCCTATTAAAGTTGAATTAATTTTAAGATTAAATTTGTCTTGATTAAAAACGATTTTTATAGGATTTACGTAATACTAATAATCTAATATTCATTAAACGTGTACCTTGTATCTGTTATTGAATGTTGATGTATCAACATTTTTATATAATAATTTCAGTATACCTACAGTGTATACAAATATTATAATTATTCTAAATATCTATAAAATGTAAATAAAAATATGATCGTTAGTTATCTTTAAGCACTGATAATATATTAGTATATTATAAACACCCATGAATGCCCACAGAGAAGTAGCGATTTTTCAGAGAAACATATTTTAAGTATCAATATAAGCCCTCTACGGCTTTGGTTTAAGTCAAACGAATGCACTGTACAGTGTAAAATAATTAATAAAATGCGATTTTTCGTTTTATAAGTTAAGATTAGTTTATAAAATTCCGTTAAATTCAAAAAAATAAATCGCTTTGTTTGGTTTGTAAATGTTTTCATCATATCAGTAATTAAATACATGTATTTATGTGATGTGAATAGAATTCTTATGCGCTTTTAGATATTTTATTTTAGAATTCATTACATATTATGTTTTTGTCTAAACTATTATTCAAGAGCTTTTCAAGTTAAAATTGTCAGTGCATTGTTAAATTGTTTGTAATATGTATCAAAAAACAGTAACTTCCTGTTATTATCATGTCAAGCTTAATTAAAAAAAATAAAAATATTCTTTAAAATAATTCAGTTTTTGAAAATATCACTGTTAAGAAACTATCATGTGTTTTTCGGTTAAAAATGATTTTTAAAACTCTAGTAATTATTTTCATGCATATAAGGTTACTTTCAATACATTGTAATATATTTATATCTAATTAAATATTGCACGGTATCAAAAGTATCTACGGTTATTCATTTTCGAAAAACAATAAAATAAGAAAATCAAATTTCGTCAAAAATTAGTTTTGCGTTAACAGTTTTTGTTTTCTCAATTATTTTGTAAATGTTTGTAAATTTTTAATTTTTATATCTCAAAAGTAGGTACCAACTAAGTTCACTTTGCTATAATTCCTGTATACATACACATAACAAAAAAAAAGTGACATAAAATCAATGTAAAGTCAATACATTAATTTTCCCGTTTAAAATCTAATATACATTTAGACTTGTAAATAGCCTGAAAGTTTAACTGGTTTATTTAATAAATTCCTTTAAGAATCCTTGAAACGATAGAATGCAATTTAATAAGCATAACAATATTGATCTCCTAATTAACTTGAAAACATCTATCGCTTTAAATTCCTTAAATTATTTTAAAGATAATTTCCATCTTGTTCTATAAAAACATCCGTTTATAATATTATTTTTCTGGGTAGAAACATTTTTTCTGGTAAAATGAAAAAAAAAAAACTGAAAAATAATATGTAAATTTATTTACAACTATTGATAAATACATAAATCAATTCTATAAATTCAAAAATGTATAAATTAATAAATATAAAATAATAATAATAGCAGTTATTGAATATACACAAATGTAACAAAATAAAAAAATTAACCATTTACTCATTAATTAACTGTATGATTTCTATAATATTGTCCTACGTCTTACTGTTGCAATACAATTCTCTTGTACACAATATGCAACTAAAATGTCCGTGTATCAAACGTCATCTGTGTAATCAAAATAATAATGCATAATATACAAACCATATACATTGTCACGAACTCTAATAATCAATAATAATAATTAGCTTTGAAGAAAACGACATTTTCAGACGACAATATCTGTCTTATGATAATTTAATGTGTTCTTCGGTTATCTACGAATAAAAAAATTAATAATAATAATATCAACTCGTTAGTAATTAGTTCTCTCCTTCGAGCGCCCCTCAGCATTCATTATTCGATAATATTATAATTAAGGACTAGTCCCGTGAAATGCTACGGACTGACGGACCTCACGCTTCGACTAACTACATAATATAATATTTTAATTCCCAACAAAAGGAAAGTCCAATATACGACGACTTTCGGGTCGTGTATGTTTACGTTACAGTATAGGTTATTATATTATTTTATTAAATGTATACATTATAGCGGGGCTGGTTTTTCGTACGAAATCGTCCTAATACACAGCG